TACGTGAGGGTCTTTACTAAAAAAATCATCATGTATTTTGGTTATCAATTTATAAAGTGAGATACATAAATTTATATGACTGTCTTTTTTTTTTAATGGTCATATATTATTATCATTTAATATAACTTTCTTCTTTATGTGATGGGTATACTAAAAGAAACAACATGTATTTTATTTTTCTATATAGTTTTATATATTATATATTATATATTATATAAGGGGCTATTGCACCTTCCACAATAGATTAAAAACTAAAAACATAAATAACAAAAATAAACTAAAATAATGAAATACATATATATTTTTATAGCTCTATCTCCTTAGAGAGATCGACGGAGATTGAGGAGGGAGTGTCAAAGGCCATGCTGTAGTCCACCTTGTTCTTATGTAAAACAAGGTTGAACTTGTGATTGAGGTTGTGGGTATAGATGGCAAGCCTATGCATCCTTCAGTAAATACGAATGATCACTTAAGTAGTTCTTTCAATGGCTTAGGGGGTTTCCCTATAGTGGTAGAGAAGGAAGGGGAATAGGTGAAGGAGGTGGAGCAGGAAGGGCAAGAGGAGGAGGTCCCTAGTAAGAGGGATGTATAGCTTGAGGCCGCTGGCATCTCACCATGGCAGAGAGATAGGTTATGGCTATTGGCATTTAACTATGGCAAAAGGAAAGAGATGGGGAGCAATTTTTGGTACAAGAAAGAAGTCAAGGTGAGGGGTTTAAATAGAGGGGAAATGACACCTTAGTGGCTAGATATATTGCCATAATGATTCTTGGAAGTTATAGAGGGATAGCCATTCCTAGCTGCTCTGTAGTCAACATTGTGTCATTTCATATTTTGACATAGTCTGAGGGGAGGCAAGCAAAATGTGCAGAAGCAATACATGACGATTCTTAGGATACTTGTCTTTTTTTCTTTTACAAAAACATCATTTTAAATGATTGTTGATAAAAGGAATTGTCATGTATATGCAGCCAATATGTGATGATTATAAATATAACTATCACTTATTTCTTAGTACGATCTATGCTTAAGTGATAGGTGATCATGTTTTATTTTAACCGTCACATATCTAGTAATATACATTTGAAAATCTATAGTAATGACATTTGTATTTGAGGTACTCTTTATAATTTAGTGATAAACAAAATTCATTCTATAATTAAGAGAATTATTATGTGTAATCTTCATTCATCTAAAGAGTTATTAAAGTTAGTGAGACTTTGAGGGATTCTTACCTTACAAGTAGTAAGGGGGACTTAAGGTTTCCTAGTACCCAACTAAACTTGGAGTTGTAAGTAGCTTCACAAGTGCTTAGATCAAACTTGTGGAATTATGATGGTTCTCAAGTACCCAGTTTAAACTTGAAGGATATAGTGTATTAAAAATCTTAGGGGGTGCTTGGGGACTAGATATAGGTCAATAAAGAGAACAAATCATTGGTAGACATTCAAGTGAATAGGCTTTCAGAGTATTAAAAGAAGATTTGTAATTTTATCAAGTGCTATAGAGCCTACTTATAATGTTGAAGCTCAAAAGTTGATTATTGTTGTATGTTGCATTTTTCGCAATTACTTGATGAATGTAGACCTTGATGAAAAGCTAATCCTTGAAGAGGATGATGAACTTGCAGCTAAAGATGAATTTAACAATGATAACCATACTCTAAGAGGGGAGAGAATTAAAGCAGCTCATGGTAAGCCTATAAGGGATGCAATAGCTCATCAAATGTTGATTGATTATGAAAACAATACTAGGAACTAAACTTTACATGTTCCTTTACTATATAGTTGGTAGTTTAATATGTTTCTTAAAAATGAACATTTATTGTAATAATTGAAATTATTGTTCCATTATTTGTTTAATGTGCTTGTTTGATATTGAACTTTATTGTGTTTCTTTGATCTTGTTATTTGCTTATTTAATGTATCATTTTCAACACATTGTTTACTTATATTATCTTTCAATTCTTATCAAAGGAAATTGTAAACCCTATTATATTTGTTGTAAGCTGTATTCTCTATCTTTGCTCTCTCTGACTCATCTTGTTTGGTAGCTTCAACATCAAGTCCAACCTCATCGTCATCTTGTATGGTGTTGTGCATCATAGGTTTGTCTCTTTTCTTTGAATGGATCTTTGAAGGAAAATTGTCAATCTCGTCCATCTCCTTCTTTTTCTTTGAACAATAAGGGAAATAATATCATTTATTATTAGCCTTATCCTCTCAATTTTTCTTTGACAGATTGTGACTATTCAATCTATAGTTTTTCATTCATTATAAATTTTTAGTCAGTATTTTTTTCCTCAACTTAATTGGATTGTGTTTTTATAACTTCAAAGTACACTTACTTACAAACTGTCTTGTTAGTTCATTGTGATATCTCTATCTTATGATGATGTCTAACTCATGGGTATAAATTCTATAGATTTTATGGAGTTATAGCTATATTTATTCATCACTACTTGTAATGTAATTAAGGAATGTGTGTATTTATTATTGATTTTATAGTCTAATTATTCATCATATATTGTTCTTTCATAGTTAAAGTATATACATGCCACAAATAGTGTGCCTGTCTTGTCCATTTAGCAATACCCATATATTAAGTTTGATGAAGTTCTACATTTAATTGCATCCAAAATACATTTTGCATGTTGCCCCAAGACTGCCTACTATTGACAACTTGATATCACTCAATATAGAGCATGATAAATGCACTTTACTGCTTGTTAATTCATGTTTTCTGGCTGGAGAATTAGATATACATATGTATAACAAGATGATATAAAATTTTTAGTTAAGTCAACTTGTTTTGGTCATTAATTTGGGGTAATTCTTTTCTTTATTTGTTAGATGGATTCTGAAACGGATTTTTTGATGTAATAATTGGAAAATGTTGGAGACTTGTAGCCTGTCTTGTTTGTCTTGATGTTCAGTATTGTGTGGCTTAGATATATAATCACAAGAAGAAAATAACTTATAATATGAGTTCTATAAGAGAAAGGGTATATGAAGAAGTAATGTATCGAATAACTTACACTTTTAGTGGTCGAGATATTGTTAGAATGAGTCTTAAAGCCTTCTTAGGATTGTGTGATATGTTAGAAAGAGATGCTTGCCTAAAGCCCACAAGATACTCAAGTGTGAAAAAACAATTTGCTAAAACCCTTTACATCTTATCACATTAAACAAAAAATCATGTGGTTAAGTTTTGGTTTAGACCACTACTACAAAAAGATCCATTTTCGTCTCCTATTTTCGTCTGAAATTGAAAACAGATGAAAATATGGCCCCATATCCGTCTGTTGGGGCCAAACTGTCACATATGAGCCTCTATATTCGTCTGGTCAATAATGCCAGACAAATATTAGGGCCCATATTCATCTGGTCATCCAACCAGACGAATATGGGCCGCCAGTGGCCCATATTCGTCTGGTTGGATGACTAGACAAATATGGGCCTTGTTTTAGGGCCTATATTCATCTCTTGCACTTTACTTTTTTCACTCCCGCCTCTTACTCACACCTTCATTTTCTCTCTCTCCCCTTCAGCTCCCAAGTCCTCCAACTTTCAAAGCTCTAACCTTCGGCCTTCCAAAGTCCATTCCCCTATTCTGCCCCCTGGTGTCGTGGTCCTCCCAACCCCACCATAGTCCCCCCTCCCCTCGGTCGTGGCCCCCCCAACGCCACCCTGGTCCCCCCAGTTCCCTACCCCTAACCCCACCGTGGTCCTCCCAGTCCCCCCCACCTTGTGGTTCCCTACCCCTCCACTGTGGCCCCCTCGTGTCTCCCCACCCCCAACACCCCTCACCCTCCCCCAAAAAACATTCCCCTATCCTCTTTTTTCAATTGAAAGTTGACTCCTCTCTTTCATTTTAATTTTTTTCCCTCTCTCTCTTCTTCTTTTTTACTCACATTTTGCTTGTTTGTGTATTTGCAGCTCATCGTGGATAATCTACAGCTCTCCCTCATTTTTAATTCTCCACTTCATAGGTAAGTTACGTTAGATATCTTTTTAAGGATTAATTGATTGTGCATATTGTTTATGTTGCTGTTTGATGAACCTGTTGGAATTAGGGGGGCTTGTGATTGTATTGTAATTTAGATTTTTGATGAAATATAGATGTATAACCAATAATGGAATGGAATTAAGTTTTTGATTTTATATTATTTATATTTTTGTTTTCATTATATCCATGAATTATGCAGAATGAATGGTTTTAAATATTTTGTTATAGTAGTTACGATGTTCAACTCACATTTTTTTTGCTTCACTCATTTTTTTTTGTGTTTCCAGCTCACCTGTGGGTAGTCTGTAGCTCTTTTCATTTTACATTCTTTACTTCATAGGTAAGTATGATATCTTTTTAAAGATTAATTGATCATATATATTGCTTATTGTTGTTTGATGAACGTATTGGAATTAGGAGTCTAGCTTGTAATTGTATTGTAATTTAGATTTTTGAGTAACCTGTGGGTAATGCAAATGTATAATTAATAGAATGGAATTGATGAGTTTTTGATTTTATATGATTTGGTTTTTTGTTTTCATTAATTATATCTATGAATTATGAAGAAGGAGTGGTTTTAAATATTTTGTTGTAGTAGTTATGGTGTTTGATGAAATGGCTATCTGTATGAATTACATGAAATTAAAGTATTATTGATTTCAGTCTTAAATTAAATTTAAATTTTTTTTACAATTACTTATATATTAACAGAATTGATCGTAGTTGGATGAGTGCTTTGAGAACATCTAAGCAAGGAACAAAAAACTGGACGAGGCATTAAACCGGTCGAGACAGTAGGTCAAGGGTTACTGGTCGAACCGAGGTCGAACCGGGGTCAGACCGGTCATATTAAAATAATATAATTTAATTCATAATATTAAAATGAAACAAAATTTATAAATAATAATCAATAAAAAAAAAGATGAGAAGCTACAAAAGTTGGTTTAATGTTTAATAGTACCAAGCAAATATTAATGAAATGCATATCTTCACTATGAAAAATCAAAGTCATCACTAAGATCATTGGCATGGACTGACATGTCAACAGCTAGATGAGGAAAAGCAGGAGCAACAACATCATCTTGTAAAGGTGGAGGGTCAGCAGTGTCCATATCTTCATCACCTATGTAAAACAATGATCAATATTAACAATCATACAAAAAATTATATATTTGTATAGAAATAAAGTCTTAATTATATATATAAAGTTATAAACCTTCATTAGCCTTCTCAAGAGTTGTTGAATTAGCAATGCCCTCATTGTTAAGGACGCTTTCGAATGAAGCCACATCTCTATCATTAAATTCCGGAGTGGGATCTTCTTCAGCGACCCAAAAATCCACCATATCAATGTTTTCATAGTCAATTGGATCATAACTTTTTCTCTTCTTCAATGTAATCCTTTAATGACAAATAAAATTCCAAATAAATATAAATCAATTAAAATAAAAAAACTAAAGATATTCACAATTTTCAAGATTACCTATGCTTCAGTCGCAAATTATAATTGGTGAAAACCAAATCATTCAGCCTTTTATGTTCCAATCTGTTTCTTCTTTTCGTATGAATTCTTTCAAATAAGCTCCAATTCCTCTCACAACCAGAAGAAGCAGAAGTTTGACTAAGAATACGCATTGCAACACGCTACAATTCTAGAACTGAACAACCATAATATGTCTACTATTCATCTGCATAATAAAACACATTTAGTATCCAATATTATATAAAATTAGTGAATAACCGTGAATAATTGAATATAATACTTACAAGGGTCTAGTTTTTGTGTAGCTTTTTGACATGAGGGTCTAGTAAAAGATTCCTTCCTTTCGCGATAAGTAGTCGCTTGTTTCATTACCAGGAAGCCATCAATATCCTCATCTAAGTAAGACTCCACAACATCAATTAAAGCCATCATCAATTTTGACTTGCTAGGATAGTCTGGACCATATGTAATTGCAGGATTCAACAAATACGATGCCGCATGAAGATTGGTCTTCAGATGTCTATCCCATCGAGTTTGAATGATTGTTGTGTAAGGCTTATACAGTTCCTTATTCTTCTTAAACATCTCCTTAATTGCCATTTTTGCCCTTTGTATTCCTTCATAAACATAAGGTAATGAAGGTTTCTCATCTGAGTCCACAATTCTCAATAATTTGATGAGAGGAGATACAATCTTCACAACTTGATAACAATCATTCCAAAATTGATTATCTAAAATGATTGCACTAAAATTTTTTCCTGCTTCAGTCTTCGATAATCTATGGTCCACAAAGTGCTTATCAACCACTAGAGCCTGCAAGTCATTGTTATGCATATATATGCTATGCAATGTAATAAATGTCGTAGCAAATCTTGTGGCACTAGGATGCACAATTTCTTTCCAACTCGGTCTTTTCCTCAGCCATGATAAGAAAACCATATGATTATATGCAAAGATAGTTACCTTTGATGCCTTTGATGCAAGGTCTGACACATGAGACATGCTGGAAAAGTCTTTCAATATAAGATTCAAACAATGAGCAGCACAAGGTGACCAATAAATACTTTTATACTTTTCCTTAATCAACCTGCCACATGCTACATAGTTGGCTGTATTGTCAGTTACTACATGAACAATATTCTTAGGACCAATCCACTCAATAACTTCACAGAATAGTGTAAACAAAGTTTTAGCATCTTTGACTAGATCTGATGCATCAACAGACTTCACAAATACCATACCGTGAGTAGAATACACTAAGAAATTTATCAAAGTATGTTGCCTGATATCAGTCTATCCATCAGCCATGAGTGTGCAGCCGTTGTTTTTCCATTTAGCTCGATGGCTATCAATAAGTAACTTACATTCTTTTCTCCAATCACTCAGCAAATTAGTTTTGAAATCATAAGCACTAGGGGCTTTAAACCCAAGGCCAATTGAAGCAATACCATCTACAGCTTTTTGAAATAACGGGCAATCAAATGCTTTAAATGGAATACAGTTCACAATTGCCCATTCAGCAATCAACATTTTCACATTGTGTTTTGCTTCTTTTGTTGCTAATGCACTTTTAATACTTGGCTGGGAATCAGGAGTTGTACGAGGAGCAAAATAATTGTCCATACTCCCCGTAGCTTTTCTTTTTTTTGCACTACTCATGATAATTGGAGAATCAATGTGAGTTTCTTCAATTTCTTCTTCTATATTTCCAATAGATTTTTTTTTAACACTCTTTTAAAGATTTTGTCATTCTATGATGTACATCATGCGAAACTTTTTTAGAAAAAGATATTTGACCAGTGATACCAGCAAGGTGTTGCTTCATTCTTTTTATCCCACCACCTCTATAACTATTACCACAAAAAAGACATGTGTATACATTTTGTGTCCCTTCTTTTTAATAAGCAACATGTTCCCATGCAGGATCAGTCTTTGCACGTAATGAAGAAGTGGGTGCAGAAGGAGTGGAAGTTTTAGTATTGGGAGTCGAAGATTTAGTATTAGGAGTGACATTATCATTTCTAGAACTTTGATTATTTGAAATATCCATCACTGCTACCTCTTGGAAAGGAAACAAAATCCATACAAAATCAATTTAATCTAGTATCAATTTATCTACCATATACCGATATGTCAATCAATGCTTCAAGTTACAAACATAACGTATGCATCTGTACATAATTATATGTCTTAAATCTTCAAATAAAAAACATCACCAATCAATACTTCAGACATGTGAAACATACTTTATCTATCCAGAATCAATTTAATCCAATCTCCAAAGGAAACAAAATCAATTTAAGTTTATCAGTTTAAGCTGTTCATACTTTGTATATTGTCCATAATCAATTTAATCCGATAATCCATATTATTTCAGCAAATTCATCTACTTTTCTCTCCTACTTCAAGTATTCATCAGAAATCAAAATACAATTTTCATCTCCTCCTTGCCAAATCTTTTGACAGCTGAAGAGAAAAAAGCAACAAAGACCTATGACTCTGGATTTAGCTTCTGTGAACTGCCAAACTGCGAATGCTAAAGGCCAAGTAGGACGTGGTCACGCTGAGGGAGACCTGCGAGCTCAAACCGCCAGACTAGTGATGCGATAGTGACTTTGCAAGGTGGAAAGCTGTGATTTTTGGTTTCAGATCTACCGTAGACTGCGAGGACATTGAGGGAGATCAGACTAGCTACGACTGTGATTTTGGAGCTCTGCTGAACAATGACCTCTGTCAGAGACTGTAGTGCCGTCGGCGACACTAAGGAGCAGGGATTGATTTTGGTTTGAGGGAGGAAGTCGGGTGAGCTGTCGCCAGGTTCAGTTTCAGGGGAGGGAAAATGAAAGATAGAATGGGAGACAGTTGCGACTTGTGAGCGAAAAGGAAAGGAAGAACCAAAGAAGAGAAAATTTTTTTTCAATAAATAAAACGACAATGTTTTGGGGGTGCTAACAGGCAAAAAAACTGACCAACCAGCCAACCGGGAAATACCCGGTTCATTCTGGTTATAACCGGTTGGACCAGTTTTTTCCCAGTTCGATGGTTCCCCGGTTAAGCAACTCATCCGGACCAACTAGAGACCGGTTTACCAGTTTTCCGATTGAACCAGCCAGTCCGGTCTATTTTTTTTCCTTGCATCTAAGGAGTATGAGGACGACGTAGAAGAATTTATTGAATTTACCAAGAGGAATGCTTATGACAAAAGTGAAAAGTATTTTTCCCCCTGTATTAATTGTTTAAATGGGAAACGATTGACTATTGATGGTTTAAGGGATCACTTATTTTGTGAGAGGATAAATCTTCAATATACAATATGGATATGGCATGGTGAAAGAGGAACAATGCCATTGGTTGAAGAAGAGGAAGTGGTGGGTGGATTCAATGATAGAATGCATGATATGATTCATGATGTTAGGCTGGTGCTCTCCGCACAATCACATATAAATGATAGCTTGCAAAGTGATGCAGAAATAGCTTTATACCCTCGGTGTTCTACGTATACACTGTTGATAGCTGTATTAAAGTTATTCAATTTGAAGGCAACTAATGGATGGACAGATAAAAGTTTTACGGAATTACTTCAATTGTTAGGTGATATGCTTCCGACTGATAATGTTCTTCCAAATAGTGTCTATGAGCCAAAGAAAATCTTGTCTTAGATAGGAATGGGCTATGAAAAAATACACGCTTGTCCTAATGATTGCATATTATACAGGTTTTCCTTCTTGTTATATTTCAGTCGACATTGGTCGTTGTGCATTCCTTGCCCCAGAGATAATGTCATTTACTGGTTTAATGCATTGAGTCGTCCCCCAAGCAAGGAAATGAAACATGTCTTTGACACATAAGTTTTATCATCATATATTTAGTTTTCCTACTTCATTAAGTTGTTCTAATCTCTGGTCATTTCTATTTGGTCATAGGTATGATTATTTGCTTTTTTCTATTGAATTGTTTTTCTTTAATTATCTTATTTTGATGAATTCAATCTTCTTATTTATAACTTACAGATCTTTGATGATGACAAATATTATAATGATGAAGAGATTGATGCTATCCGAGATTGTTTGGCGGGACAATTTCTTCAAGAGTTTTACTCTCAAAATGATACATGAGGTTGGCTTGGATGGTACTAAAGTGTCTAGGATTATTTTGATTGTTAAAACATATTAGAATGTTATTAGGATTGTGTATATATTCTTTTCTATGGAATGGATATGAATTTGGTGAATTATTATGTATTGATGTTATTAGGATTGTTGATTATGGAATGGATCTGAATCTGTTGAATTATTATGTATTGATGTTAATAGAATTGTGGATTATGAAATGGATTTGAATCTGTTGAATTGGCTATACTTTATTTTTTGCAAATCTTTCAGGGTTTTCTGTAAAAAAATTCGGGCAATTTCATATTTGTGAGGAAATTTTTTTTTATGGAACATATTCGTCTGTTGATGCGTCATTTTCATATGTTTTGATTGAACAGAGTTAACGATAAATTTTAGCTATATTTTAAGGACTACGTTAGGGTTATAGATACAACACACATATGTGCTAAAGTACCTAGGGTGGATGTTCCTTATTATTACGGTAGGAAGGAATTCCCTACACAAAATGTGTCAACAACTTGCACATTCGATTTAAAGTTCACTTATGTGCTTGTTAGGTGGGAAGGCACTACATTTGACTTAAGGATTATAAAAGATGCATTAAGACAAGAAGATAGCCTTAAGATTCTTCAAGGTAATAGTTCTACTAATTAGTAAAAAGTGAAATAATTAAATAACATCACAAATTTAAAACTAATAAAGTGACTATTTCATTTGATGATAGGGAAATATTACCTAGTCAATGCTAGATTCATGTTAACAGGTAGTCTTACAACATCTTATAGAGGAGTTTGGTACCATTTGAAAGAATATTTAGGTAGAAATTCGCCCCAAAATCATAGAAAACTTTTCAATATTTGACATGCATTATTGTGTAAAGCAATTGAATGGGCTTTTGGAGTATTAAAAAAAGATTTGTAATTTTATCAAGTACTGCAGAGCCTACTTATGGTGTCAAAGCTCAAAAGTTGATCATTGCTACATGTTGCATTCTTTGCAATTACTTTATGAATGTAAACCTTGATGAAGAGCTTATCCTTGAAGTGGATGATGAACTTACAGCTATGTTAGTGGTAGTCTCAACCAAGAGGGAGGTGAATTGGGTGAGATATAAAAATTTTACGAAATTAAAACAATGAACTAATGGAAACAGAGTGTGAGTTAGAGAGATTTCACTGTAGAAAAGTGGACACAGAATTTATACTGGTTCGGTCTCAACCACTTGAACTACGTCCAGTCCTCAGAACACCTCTGAGTATTGCACTATGTTCCAAGATTGATCGAGCTCTTAGTGCCTTAGTACAGTAATTGATACTCTTAATCACTCCCCCTTACTACCCGTAAGGTTACAATCCCACTCAAGAGTCCACACTCTTGAGTTTCACACAAGACGTGATTAATGATAAAAAATATAAACTCTCTTACAGAGTGAATAAATGATAATCACTGAAGCTCGGTGTATGGAAGAACAGAGTATTGAATGCAACAGTAAATGATCAACAGAGGGTAGCTCGCGTATTCAATCTGTTCATTTAATGCTTCTTCACGCCTTTCATAGTTGAGGTAGTTTAGTAACCGTTAGATGGAAGAGTTTCTAGCCATTGAGAGTCCGGTTGCGTGTTTTCCCAGTTGCAACGGTTTCCGCCATTAATGCTTTTGATAAGGTAGGTTACAGGCTACTTAGACAATCGTTGGAGAGCTGTTGGGTTTTTCTTTGTAATCTACAATAATACATTGATTCAATAAGTTTTTCTTTGCAGAGTAAGATCAAAAGCAAAACCGAACAAATGATAAAATGAACATTCATAGTTTACAAGTAGAATCAATCAGTTGTTAAATATGCTGAGCAATAACTGATCGTGCTTGATCGAAGTGGTGATTGATTACTGGTTGATCGATCAGGTTATCGATTATTCAGAGTAAGAGCTTTTGAAACAGATAACTAAGTTTATCGATCAAGTAATGAATTAATGATTTATCGATCAGGTGATCGATCAAAGGAAATAGTAACATCATACTGGTATGCAGAGAAAAAGATGAAGGTCACTTTTGATTTTGAATCTCTCTTTAAATAGAGAATTAAGACAATCATGAAGGCTGAGAAAAGCTCGAATGAAATAGATGATA